TACCCGCGAACCAGATTGAGTTGCTTCATCTCCCTATTCGCCAACAAGTACCTTCCTTGGACAGCCATCGTTTCACGCTCCGCACCGGCTGTCGGATTGAGGAAATTGCCATCTTGATTGATGATGTTCTTTACTACACGTTTCCCTGCATTGCGACCTTAGCCTTTCCTGAACCAGACAAGTGGAAGAAATCGTGGGAGACCGTCTACAGGAGCCTCATGCCGCACCGCCGCAACATCATCGAAGATGAGCAACGAGTGAAGTCCATCTCGGAATTACCATTTTCTCCACTGCCCCACGGCAACCCAGGCCCCTGGACGGATCATGTAGTCAGGGAGATATCCAGTTAGTTCAAGATCTCCCCGGACTTGACGGACCCGGTACATTGCTTGACAGACCATTTCGATTGACTGCTTCACCGCCAACCCCGCCACGATTCCCAATACTTCTTCCGCCTCCACCTCCTCCACCACCACCACCACCGGTGATTCTTCACCCACAGTTCATGCCCTCATTGCGAGCTTCCTCAAGCCCTTCTATTCGAGGACAGTCATGCCCGGCCACCATGGGATCTCAGCGCACACGCCGCTCAGTTTGCAGCGCTGACCAATTCCGTGATGATGATCTACGCAGTCTCACGCGTTCTTCAAAACGCTCTCGAACAGCATCCGCTTCTGCCATGCGGAGATCTTGGCGGCCCTTCACTGTGTTCCCTTCGAAACGGGCTACTCGTGCAACACGGTCCGTAACGACAAGTTGCAAGCATTACTGTCATGCTTTTCTACATCATGGACGGAAATGTCTTTCTCCCTGTGCTCGTCGCCGACCAGGACATTACCATTGCAGGTGCGCGCGGCATCAGCGGCGGTGAATCATTGTCGCCATACACTACAGACTTTGTTGATTCGTCCTGCCTTCAGTTTGAAAAGTTGCCTTGCATTGCGCCGCTTGCCACATTCACATTGCATTCAAGTTTGTCATGGCATGAGTGTTTCACCGCAGATCCCTTGGCTTTGCGCTTCCTTGTAACAGCACCGTGACGACACATTTGGCTGTCATGTATCCGCACTATTTTGAGTACCACATCGAGAGAGGCTTGGAATGGATTCGAATTTACACACCGGGCCCGTGGCAACCTGTGGCCACAGCCACCCTGGGACGAGCCCCGGACTACGCTTCCACGTATCGGGAGTGGCGCAAGTCATATCACTTCGACGTGTACTTGCCCACAGACAGCACCGGGGGCACCGCTGCGGATCCCAATGTCATGCCCATTTCGTACGTGTCCTATCACGTGTGGGAATTCAGAGACTGGAGCACGCGAGGTTATCAACGCCTTGGCATTCCACGACCAACCTTGGATCGACGGAGCTCGTGAATGAAGAAATTACTTCCTCGTCGGTGTCTTCAGTTCCGGATGGTGCGTGGCGGGAACCTTCTCCCCCACCGAGCTATGATCCCAATTTCGATTGGAACGAGTCGGATTGATGCTTGAGCAACATGTTGGTTAAAACGCTGCTTCAACTTGGGTTGTCTTGGCTTGTGTTGTGTTTTCTCCATATCCATGCTTTCGCCGATTCCCTTTTGCCTCATAGCGGCTTATTTGGTTGGTATGTTCAATTCCACAATATGTGGCGCTGCAAGATGGTCCCTACCACGCTACTTTGAGTACGACATCGTCAATGGCCCTGCGAACACAAGCGTTGAATGGATTCGAGTCTATGTACCCGGTCCGTGGCAACCAGTCGCCGACTCCACCTTGGGACCGACTCCGGATGACACAACAACCTATCGGGAATGGCGCAGGTTCTATCACTTCGAAGTGTATTGGCCTAGTGACAGCACGGGAGGCACCACTCTGGGTTCTTTTTCCCAGCCGGTGTCATATGCATCCTTTTACACATGGCAATATCGTGACTGGGTCACCAGAGGATATCAACGGCTCAGCCATCCGCGCCCGCACGTTGCGCGTCCAGTTTTCCCTTCGGGATCGCCAGACCTCATGTACGCTGGATTGTCCTCTTCGTCGGCATCCTCGAACTTGGATGGTGGCTGACGTTCGTCCTCGCTTTTCCATGATCTTCAATTTGATTGGGGCGAGTGGCTTCGACACCTGAGCCGCGCCTTGCTACAAACCGCGATGTTCGGCGCTGCATGTTCTGTGAGTGCTGGATTGAGTGTCTTGTGTTTGCTTGACATGTTTGTTGATACGTCGCATGAGGTGCTTGTAGTCTGCAGCCGTGTATCTCTCGATTTTGCGTCTAGGGTTTGAGTTTTCATGCCGTGGCTGGAGTGGTGCCCGGATCCTCAACAACCAGACGCTCAATGGGTCAAGATTTTTCATCCGGGCTCATGGACTCCACAAGATGAACGTGATGATCCGCCTCCGCTACCGGCGTGTTGCAGCCCCTGAAGCTGATCACGGCTTCAATTCGATGTCTTCTCCTGATCAACATAGCGTGGCCACGCAATCATCGGCTTTGTGTATGTCACCGCAAATGTTGAATGCGATTCTTAGATCATCGGATGCTTCGGCTTTCTCTACTGAGGATCTCACTCGTCTTCAAGATGGGATCTGTCAGCAACTGTCGGATCGCGCGCGTCAAGCGTCCCATCAGCACCAACCAGTACGTGCATCTCGTGGAGTTGAACCACCTGAGTCTATTGGGGTCGCTGATCCATATCTACCTGCGACCCAACCATGCAGCTCTACCAACAAGGAGAAGCCTATCTTCGAGCTAAACGATGAATAGACTGATGCGTTTTGATCGTGGCACAAAAGGGTGCTTTCTCATGCTCTTGCTTTCTTGTGTTTTTGCTGGTTGTGCATGGTTGTGCATGGTGACTGTTTCCTTGCTAGCTGGATCGGAACCTGCGGTACGCCCTGTCTTTCACTTCGGCATGGACACAGATGATGCAACTCAGACGTTGGGCCGAACTGATGAGCAGCACCCATGGCTCGAATATTCCGTCTGGCAAGGTCAGGAGTGGGTGCGGATCTACACTCCAGGACAACCTCAGCTGTGGCACCCAGAAGAGGCAGTACCTGACCTACCAGACAACTCGTTTCGGGAGTGGAAACGGGTAACTGATCCAATCGATGGGACTGGTGAACCCAGTCAAGCATGGACAATTCGCGACTGGCAACATCAAGGTTACCAACGCATTCTATCTCGCTTTGAGTCCTTCTCCACTCATCAAGCTCAGGATCAACCACTTGTTGACGCGCAGAATTCGGACATCGCCCGGGTCGAGGAGATGTTCACCTATGCCCCCCCTATTTCTGACGGTGATCGCTCGCCTGCTTTGCAACTTCATCCGGTCTTCTATGGCGGCACACGTCATGCTCATCGTGGAGATCTTTCGTCCCCGTCTTCTGGGAGGCTTCGTGCAGTTTCGCGCTCTCTCCGCCGCTGTGGATATTTTGGCAGACGTTAAAGAGTTAAGGAGTTGAGCATGTGATCTTCCTGCAGAAAAAGAGGCTTTTCGCCCCTCACTGAGGGGCGTGTGTGTGCGGAGTGGCAGAATACCCTGTCACCACACTTGAGCGCAGGGGCGTGCAGCACCTTTGGCATACTGCACGCAATGAAGCTATTGCCAAAGGTGGGAAGGGTGTCCAGACGTGGACACCTGTACCTGCTTCAGTGATTCTGAAAGTCCTTTTGGCCCCCCTTGGTTGCGGCGCTGTTTGTGCTTCTTGTTCTTTCGGGTAACGTGTTCGATGCTAGAGGGAAGCCGAGTGCATTGCGAGCCGAAACTTATGCATGAAGAACCTTATCCAAGCCGAAACTTACCAGTTGTACTCGAAAGATTAGCGCCCTCCATCTGGAGTTTAAGTGTGTGTCGTGTGTGTGTGTGGTGTGTGTGTGTGTGTCGTGTGTGTGTGTGTGTGTGTGTCGTGTGTCGTGTGTCGCGTGTCGTGTGTCGTGTGTCGTGTGTCGTGTGTCGTGTGTCGTGTGTCGTGTGTCATGTGTCGTGTGTCGTGTGTCGTGTGTCGTGTGTCGTGTGTCGTGTGTCGCGTGTCGCGTGTCGCGTGTCGGGTGTCGTGTGTCGTGTGTCGTGTGTCGTGTGTCGTGTGTCGTGTGTCGTGTGTCGTGTGTCGTGTGTCGTGTGTCGTGTGTCGTGTGTCGTGTGTGTGTGTGTGTGTGTCGTTGTGTGTGTGTGTGTGTGTGTGTGTGTGTGTGTGTGTGTGTGTGTGTGTGTGTGTGTGTGTGTGTGTGTGTGTGTGTGTGTGTGTGTTTTTGTTTAAAATTAATCAGGATACACTTTTTGTGCCATCCCCAAGTTTGAGACAAACCGTCCATCATTTCAGTTGTACCAGTCTTTTCCCGGCCGCATTGTTGAACAGCCCCATAGGTCCGCTCGAGGCCACGCTGATTGGGAGGTTAAAAGGGGAGGAGTTGCCACGGGGACCATTGCTCATCATGAAAAGTCAACAAGGATAAACCAGACTCAGAGCCAAGCGGAAACATAAAGTGAGCTCTTTGAAATCAGATGCATTTTTTTCTGTGCCAGACTGCGCAGATGTACACTGTGACGTGCAAGTAGGACAAGTTTCAATGATGGCCAACAATACCAAAAACATTTGTCAAACCCCGGCAGACCCAATACTAAAGTGGAATAGGCCAATTCTAAACCAATTGTACACTAGAGACTTCTCCCAACCTCTTCTCCAGTCGTAGTAGACCTTCGCCCTCGGGCAAGCACTACCTTTTGAAACAAAAACAGGTTGCGGATAGTGGATTCCTTGAAATGTTTTTGCTAACGATTCAGAGACTGTTTGAGTTGCTTAAGTGCTCTGTTGCATTTTTTGGCAGCTGACCGGCTAATAACTTGCTGGTGGGATAGGTCGGGATTTCTCATTCCCTGCTGACTGCTGAGCCAGCAAGATCTTTAAGGTATGTGTTCACAGCTTTCTTTTTGGGGGAGGAGAGGGCGGGACGCTTCTTTTAATTCAGAGTTAGGGATGTGCCACGGGCCTGAAGAGAAGTGCACATGAGGCGCCTATTTTCAGCGAGCTCTGCCGTTCCATCCTGACATCGCGCGAGCCGCGAAGGCCTTTTGCTTGCGCCTTGAAGCGGGTGCGTCTTTTTTTGGAGTTGGTACCGCTTGTTTCTGGTTTTGAGCGGAAACCGAAAAGTAACGCCCACCATTCTGGGGGTATGCTTAGAAAAGGCACACCCAAGCAGGGGACATACTGCCACCGCAATGTGTCTTTGCGCATTGCCTGTCCCAGCCTTGCAATTGCATCGTTGTGTGCCTGGTTCTGTCTCATCACTTGGTAGCATCGTGCGCCACACACACACACAGATGCACAAACATATATCAGACTCACATCATATACTAGCATGCCATTGAGCGATATACAGAGTGCAAGTTTGCCGGTCACCTGGCATTTTGGGCGCGTGGGCACGCATTCGATTCGCCAGCTTGGCTTGGCCTCCTTGTTCGAATGCGTGGAGTCACGCCATGTCACATCATCGCACTCGTTGCGCGCCATGTCAGAGCATGCCGTTCAAAGCAAACCAGACTCCTGCTCCAGCATGCGCTTGAAACAACTATGCAACGTTTGCATGTTTGTTTCATCTCATTTGGGGATTCGCAAGTGTGCTGGTGGGCCAGGCATTGATTCAAGCTGCTACATCAAGAATTGGCTCGTTTTGAGCGCTTCTGCCAGATGCCAGGCACCGCAGCGCTTCTGGAAATTGTCACAGGCGCGGCCATGTCGCCAGAGTCTCTGACAACTTGGCTGTGGCTGTGGCAGGCATACTGGCGCCTGGCGGTCGATCTGGAAGTCGAGCATGAGGACAGCATCCTAGCTTCAACAAGGAAGATAGCTCATTGGATGGGTGCGAGAGTTGCCGAGCTTTGTTCTGCTTTGTTTTCAAGAGTTATGTTTCATTTCTCTGACTCAGAGCGCTCTGCGGATTGCTCACATTGCTTTGTCATGATATATGAATGAAGGGCTTTGTTCCTTGACATTTGAAATCAAGCAGGGCCCAGGCAGATGCTTGGGCTTTGTGTGGCTGCCTTAGCCTTTGCTCGTGGCCAAACCTGCCAGACCTGAAAAGGTGGTCAGGGTCCCGCATTATGTATGTATATATATATATATATTTACACGCACTATCTTCCTGCACGATTGTATGTATACGGGACACGCGCACGTTGTGTTCGATTGTCTATGTATTGTCTGGGCGGCTCAGATCGTTATGTCAGCCTTTGGGGCATCTTGGGATTTCCTTGAACTCCAGGAGTTCACCGAGCGCGGCATCCGAGAGCTTTGGGTCCGGAACTTTGTGTTCGAGGCGAGGATGGATCGAGTGGGGTCGACTTGGCCATTTTGCTGGGGAACATGGGGATCATGGGGATCATGGGGATCATGGGGATCATGGGGATCATGCGGATCATGGGGATCATGGGGATCATGGGGATCATGGGGATTTATTTATTTTTGCCCCATATTTTGTCCCATGTTGCGCTTATGGGGTGGTGGGACATGGCGTTCAACTCGTCTAGCCGCCGAGTCCAGGGCCTGCCGGAGCTGGTGGCCGACGAGTTGCAGATGACCAGTGGCCAGTGCCGATGCCTCGGTCCGATGCGGTGCGAGGAAGGCTTTGGGTGTTTTTTTTTTTCAGGGTGGCCTTGACGCCAACAAAGACATTTTGTTGGGGTCCTTTTTTTCTCTTTCTCTTTCGGGGAAGGTCCCTATTTTGAAAACAAGGTTGAAAGATTTCCTCAAACATCCTTCATGCGCTGATGTCGTTACGCGGATGTTTTTTCGAATCATGTTTCTTCAAGAAGCTGCTTCAACAAGTTGATCTTCTGCTTAGATGTTGTGCCTGAACGAAATATCCTAAGTCAACTGTCCCTCCCTTTTCTGAATTCTTTGCAAGCTGAGTTTGCTTCGCGTGCAGGCTTCCGCCCATCCCGGCCCCACTCCATCCATCCCTTCAACCCGCCCATCGGTCCATCCGTCTCCAGTGCTTCCATTTCCCTTTTTCCCTCTGGCGCCTAGGGGTTCATCTGGCTTTGGGTCAAAACCAACGGTGCCATTTTGGGATAGGTGAATTCACCACCCATTTGAGTGGGATCTTCACTGGGGGGGTCACCAGGCTTTTGACCCATGGCCATGTCCTTTTTTCCCTCTGGCACCTGAGCCACAATCAAAACCCGGGTAGGTGAAGGTTAGTAAGGGATAATCCCAACCATAAATAGCTGCGGCCGCCTTCTTGATTCTTTACATGGTTCTGGGTAGACCATTTTAATACTGGGTTTTGATTGTGACTCACCTGGGGTTCGTCTTTCCTTTGTTTCGCATCCTCCAAGGCATGTTTCCCCTGCCCCCAAATCCATTTGCTGGCCTCCGCATCCGCCCGAGGCGAGGAGAGGTTCTTCGAGGCGTGAGTCAAGCTGAACCTAGCAACTTTCTATCAAGGAGTTGGGGGGCTATCCTTAAATGGCTGTGGGTCAAAAATGGGGATCCCCAAAATGGACCCCTGGTAAATGGAAACAAAGGCTAAAGCCGCGTAGCCCCAGCTCTTTCATGTTGAGCCACACCCAAATGCGCCGTCAAAGAGAGGGAGCATATCGTTCGGAGCTTCCGATCCGAGTTCTGTCACATGTGTCGTGCCTCGGATTCGTTTGGACCGCGGTCAGGGCGGTTCGGGGGGAAGTGATCTATCTAGTCTTCTGGGGTTTCCCTGAGCCTGTGGATCCAAACATTCCATCGGCAGAGGCTATGATGGCCTGGTGCAGGCCAAGCACTGGTTCCAGTTTTTCCCCCGGATTTTCCCTAGGTGAGTCAGAGAAAGTCAATGATCTCTGCTCTTGGGAGTCTGCTTTAAAACGCGCTCGCATTTACCTTCTGTTGGGACGCAGAGTCACATGGCAACATCTTTTGGGACCACTTGGGCCTTACCACATGTCCCAAGTGTTTGGTGCCACATTTGTTGGGTTTCCTCAAAACCTTATCCAGAAAGTGTACGCCCCTTTCCCCTTCGGCCTCGACTGTTGATGCCGGTTGCTTTCCTTTTCATCCCCTCTCTCGTTTCGCAGGCCAGCACACGTGCACGGGGGATGATCCCCGGGGAGCGCCTGCAGTGCGGGCTTTGCGGCTTCCAGGTGAGAACATCGAGAGTGGTTTGTTTTCGCCAGGGTTCTTTGCTATAAAAGGGAACTCATTTTGAAAAGTGGCCCAACAAATGATGTATGATAACCACCAATAGGGAAAAAGTGGAGACCCTTGAGTATGCTTTGGGTCTTTCTCAAAATACGGGTCCCCCTTTTCAAGGCCATCACAATTTGAAGACGGCCCGAAAGTTGCGAAACGCCTGGGACACGCTCTAAACTTTCAACCACAAAAACCAGAGGCCGCGCCCTAATCTTTTTATTTTTATTTTGGCGGACACTCGTAATTTTGACTGCCTCATATGGGCAAAGCTGAGTCCATTAACTTCAAGTGGCCACTTTGGGTGCGTATCAAAGTGACTGAGGGGAATGTCATTCAAACCACCCTTTGGAGGGAGCTTTTGAGAGTTTCACATGAAGCCCTGAAGGTCATTGGGGTCCTGGATTCAAAAACGGCTTCACCTTTTTGAGAGGCAATTCCTCTCTTCTCTTGATTGGAGACCCCTCCCCCCCCCTGGAAATCAACCCCCAACATATTTTGATCGCACACTTTCTGCCTACCCGGGAATTTGCATAACTGCGTGTTTTGGACGTGTTTTTCCTTCAGATCATGCGCGGCCCATAGCAGCAGTCGTTTGAAGATGGTTTCGATGTTTTCTGTGGTTTGTGTCACATCCCATCACACGCCTTCTAACTCTGCAGCACTTTCACGAATCAAATGGCGCTTCCATGCAGATGATCTTCCAGGGGCTACTCAGCATCCAATCACTACAAGCTTGCGCTCATGTTCAAACTCGCAGACCTGGAGAGATGCCATCAGGTTGTTTTCCTAAATCTGAAAGTTCGAGCGTATTCCAAACATGTATTCACACCTGGAGAGAACGCCCACCACCACGTAAACTGGAACAAGCAGGTTTTGTACCATCAGGTAGTCAGGGAATAAACCAAAGGGCCGGGAGCTTTTGACCAGTTCTCATTTTTATATGGATGAGGCGTCGACTTGCTGGCAGAATTGAACGCATAGGGACGCACATTGGAGCTCGGCGTGTGCCCTTTCGAAGTCTTGCTGGCTGAGGGTCGTTCTCCTCGGAGGATCCTTCGGCGATTCAAAAGTTACTCCCCAGAAAGGCCATCTGCACCATCGGGATGTTTGGGTATGTGTCAAAATCAGGGAAGCCCTGCAAAAAGGTGCGTTTCCTTTGGGTCTCCTTTGAACCAAGCTGAAAAAGTGGTATCCTCAAAATCACACCCACACGCTCCATGTTGCGTGTCGGACTCCGACCGGAGGTCCGCAGCCACTCGGAAATGCGGAGCCACCTGTCGCAGCACAAGGTGGGGGCAAATTGTGGGGGTTGGAGGGGGGCGGGGAGGGCAAGAACCGGATCATATGTCCAACGATGCGTTTCAAAGGATATCGTTTTCATTCGAGAGGACTGGGGCCGTGAATTGAGCCCCACGCGGACATGAGATGCAGAAGCTGACGAGTTGGCCTCCTGGTGGGTGGTTTGGAGCTCGGTGGTTTGGTGGTGGTGGCATTCCCTACAAGAACCAACATTTTTCTCCAAGTCCAAACACCAATCCAAGCCAGCAACTTCCTTTTCAACCAAAGCCGATGTTGAATGTCTTCCAGATGCCTTTAACTCGCCGCAGGTGTTCCTTGTTTCCATTTACCAGGCAAGCCATTATGCGGTTACCAACGATTTTTGACCCACACCTAGTTGGCACTTTTTTTGTTTTTGTTTGCGGGGTCTGCAACAGAGCTGCGTAACAAGGACCTCCGTTACAGACCTCGGTAACAAAATTCGTGGCGCAGCCCGCGTGGCAGACCCTCAAAAAACATAGCTCTAGGGGTTGATTCCTCATTCTTTTCAGCCATCGTTCTTTTCAAAAGCCAGATCCATTTCCCCAGGGTTTTTGGTGGTTTTCTAGAAAGATTCGGATTTTTTGGGTTCAGAATGGAAATAGACAGTTACCCCGAGAATAGCCAGTGGACTTTTTGTGACCCGTGTCTTTGGCCGGCGTTCAGCTGACGTTCAGCTTAGGCTGGCGCGAGCTGGGCGGAGGAAGCAGCCGCCGGGCTCAGAACCGGTTCCGGGCAACCCAAGAGGGGGGGTCTCCATGTTTTGTACTCTTGGGTAGACGAAATATGACGCAGAACCGCAAGATATGTTGTTTGGATGTACCCGAGATGTTGGTGAAGCCTCGGACAGAATTGTGGGAAGCTGCGAAGCTGGAACTTCAAGGAGGTGCAGAAGGCACTTCTGAATGCAAACGTCGTTCTTTTACTTTCTGCAGGAACTCTCTTGAGCCGGAGCTATTTGCTTTCGTTTGGCTTTTTCTGGATTGCAACCAAGACGCTACCCCTTCTCACATGTCACGACGTTCATCCAGACTTGTGAGGTTGCTTCCGCTGGCAGATCCTTCTTGTCTTGCTTGGCAGGCCGGAAGCGGTTGAACGGAAGCTTCGGGGCCTGGCGGGAAGACGCGGGCGCCGCGAAGCACGGCGAAGCCTGTTGCCAAGTCCGGGCAGGTTGTGAGGAGTTCTTGCTTGCAGACGGCTCGGTGGCGCGGTTCAAGGAGCGGGTGGAAAGAACCGTGACCCGTGTCCGAAGCTGTTTGTGGGAAGGTACCATGTCTTCACCACACCACTGTTCTGCCGAAGCTCAGCCAGCAAACAACAAAGCAGAGAGGGGGTTGAGAGGTACAGGACTGGGTATGCCGTCCCGAGAGGGCTTGGTGAAGCACGTGGTTGGTGTGGTGCAGGTAGGCGCCTACAGTACCTGCAAGAAGCCTTCAGGTTAATCCAAGTTTCGACAGATGGCACCATAGCAAGGCGAGCTTTGGGTGGTGTGCGCTTTTCTTGGGACGCCCACCTCCATGGGGAGGGACGCATGGGCGTGTGTAGGACATCCCATTGCCCCCGGAGTCGGAAACTCAGCAGCTGGTGTTTCGCTTGGTTCAGAGGGGACCGAAAACCATGGGAAAATGGAAGAGAGAAACTGTGGCGCGGGTCCATGTCCAGTTTGCTTCTTTGATTGAGGTTGTTTTGATGTCTTGCTGTTGCTGATCTCTTTTCAGCGCTGAGAGGCCACAATTTGAATTGGCTGCATGCCCCGAATTCGGGCATTCTGGTTGCTGGAGAAGCAATGCCGACACTTTTTCTTCTGTCGATATCACGCCCGGAAGTCGCGTTTTAGGTCGATGTCACCCCTTGCTTGGATCTCAGCACTGGCGCCAAGGATAGATTTGGATGTGCCGATGAAGGCAAGCGCTGCAGAGGCGCGAGGTTGATGTGCCATGGTCATTCGCTCAGGTTAGATGTCTTGAACACGGGTGGTAGATGTCTTTGCCTGCTAAAGCTCGCCGTCAATTCACTACCTGGCAGGATCAAACCATTTCCTGATATTCTGGTTGAGCGTTGATCTTCACGAGGATTCTCGATTGGAGTCCATTTGACAACAGGCGATCCCAATGAGGCGAGTCATTTGAATTCCAAATGACTCGCCTCAGGTTGGGTTGGAGTGTTATTTGGTGGCTTCACCCTTTGTCTTACAGAAAGTAAGCGTGAACACAGAGGGCCAAAGGTGGAAGTTCTCGGCATTTCGAGACACATCTTTTTGGGGCACTCATGATGTTACTCATCGCAAGGGGACACTTTGGGGCAGGTCTGAAAGACGGTCTTGTTTTGGCCCCCTCAGCATGTTTCCGTAGATTGCGGACATCTTTTGCTTTTGTTTTGAGGAACGGATAATCAAAGGGACAGCCTTCTTTCTGGTTGGGACCTTTTGGTTGGATCTCCACTCGCTGTTTTCAACTCAGCGGGGGGAGATTCCGCGCATCCTCCTCGGGGCTGACAGATGCTGCAGCGGCTGCGGGCCACGCGGCCCGGCACGGAAGCCGAGAAGTGGCCAGAATGCAACGAGGTTCAGGGCCAGCAACCACTTCTCTTTTTTGGTCCCCAGTGATTCTCATACTTGTTTTTGTTTCTACATGTGGAAAGAAGACAGAGAAATCCGGTATGCACGTGAGCATTCATATGCTATATGCACTGTATACCCCCCCCTATCAGCATGGAACAGCCAAAGCATGTTTTTCGAGGGCCTTTTGGGGGACCAGTTTTGGGTCCCATGTGAACTTCCAAAGGTGTATCTCTAGGCGTTTGTTTTTTTGATGAATTTGGGACCTGATGGGAATGGCGCGCGGGAGAGCATCCGAATGGGCGCGAGCATCATTTATGTCAACATCGGGGACTCTTTCCATTCAGCTTGTCCTTTGGTGGCTTTCCAACAGGCCCACCTCACTTTGACCTGCTTCCCCAGATGGCTTGGAGCAGCACGCGTGCCGAGACCGGGAGAAAACCCGAGTCGCGGATTTGTTTTGCGCTCGCATGGCTTGCTTCCTTCCGCCGGGCCTCTGTAAAGGGCACGGACGTGCCGAGGTTTGGCGGCATACTTGGAGCCTGAAGGTGGGCGGAGACATGCTAGGGGTACCTTCCCCATTCTTTCCAGGGATCCGCGTCTTTTCTGGAAACCAGCCGGTTGTTGAGAGAACGATGGTTGAAAAGAATGGGGAATCAACCCCTAGAATGCTGTGTGTTGCACGGTGTGTCCACTTTTTGACTGCCCCAAGGTAGACTTAAACCCATGGCTTTCCATTTGGGGGGACATCAACCACCCCTGGGTTTGAGTACAGTCAAAAAGTGGAACCCTGGTGTGACATGTTGCACGTTGAAGCCCCTGTCATGTTGCGACTGGCCGATGGAATCTTTGGGCGGTCCCGACCGCAGCGGGTGAGGCGATCCCGACCTGTCCGCAGCACTTCGCTACCAGGCGGGCAGCGGTGCAGTTTACCCGGAGCAAGACATCGATGCACAAGACTCATGTTGCATTCATTGAAAGGCGAGTCAATCAGGCGAATGCGTCGGATTTCCAAAAGCCCTGGCCTTTCAGGCGATATCTCCTGAATCTCCCAGGCGCAGAGGGGAACTCGTGGAGCACGTGGCACTCGAATCGTCGCACCGGCCGTGTGCCGGCAGCTGTTGGCCGAAAAGCCGAGGACCCACTGCCGGGAACCTGGAGGCTCATTCCTGCGCAGGGTGCTTTCGGCGAAATGGATCCTGGGGTTGGCTGCTTTCGGAGGAAGCCGCTTTCGAGGGCGCGGATTGATCCCCTTAGATGAGGAAAAGAGGAATTCGTTTTTGAGCAGCATGTGGCGCGGATTGACCCCCTTGGCCGTGTGGAAAAAGAAGCTTGGCTGTGACCTCTAGAACTTTGCCTTCGAGGCGAGCTGGCCTGCCGATGTGGCTTTACTTGCGGCACGCAGGCGCAGTCGCGAGGCTGAGCTACCAAACGCACATGCAGACTAGAAATGCAACTTGGATGCGGAACACTGCAATGTACAGAAGCACCAGTTGTTTTGTTGCCATTTTCACATCAAATCTTTCAGATGGACCCCTTGCTTGTGCGATTTTCAGCAGCGACATGTCGATACATTTGTTACTCCCAACACAGCCTGGCTGCCAAGAGACATTCAGCCAAAAGCAACTGCCACCTCTTCATGTTCCACCGCAATCGATGTAGCTTGTGTTGCGTTGACACTTGCACATTCCTCAAGTCTATGCTTTACATGCCCCTCCTGCGCCTTGCCTTTTCATGTTTCCATTGCCTCTCGCCTGGTCGCTGGCTCGGTTTTCAGGTGGCCATGGATTGGCACCGGCTCCGCTGTGAGTGAAGGACCGGACCAAAGAAAGCCACGCGCGCTCTCGAGTCCTCAGCTTGCTGTCGCCGTTCCACGCGGTCAACTTGCTGGGTATGAGTCGTCCATGGCTCCATTTACCAGGGCAAGCCAGTTTGGGTACCCATTTTTGACCCAAAGCCAGAAATATAAGCACGCATCCAGCGGTGCAGTTGCCAATGTCCTACTCGCCAAAGCTTGACCAGCAGCAGATGCTTGGGGAAGATGAATCCCAATTCAGCGAGGGCCTGGATGGCTTTCGGCTTTCGGCTTAGGTAAGTTGAAGCCTGCAGTGGTCGCCTTTGCGACTGATGCCTGTGTGCAATGCCAATGCTCATTTGCTGCCCAGCTCACCAAGATGTTGAGCAAGGGAGTGCCAGAGATGTCTTGGCTTGATGAGAAATTGCTGGATTCAAGCAAGCAATGAACAAGGGAGCAACAACACTGAGACTCTGAGATAATTTCGGTCTTTGTTCACAGGTTGTACTCTTTTGAGTTTGCAGGCTTGGGTCGAGGTGTGGTGGGACCCTGAACTCACACAGTCTTGCACCCTGGAACTTGTGATGGCCTTACTGCTGTGTTTCCAGCAGAGACTTGCCCTGAGCTCTCGGTCTTGATAAGTCAGGATGAAAGGATATTTGGCATTGGACTCGCGTTGCTTGGATCCGCTTGGAAGGGCGAAATGAGAACCGAATCCAGACCAAAATACATCGCAATGGAGGACGTGAGGTAAAAAAACAAACAAACAAACAAACAAACTAAGCACGAATCAGACATTTGGCCTTGAGGCAAAAGTACCTCCAGCCAATGCCTAGGATGCCCCTCCTTTCGGCAAGCAGCCATGATTCCTTGTTGATTCATCGCAGTTCGCTCCAAATCGGCGGCTTCGTGGCTCGAGCTTCTCCATTGAGCTCGAGTTGCCGCTTGGAGGCCCGCGCGTGGCTTTGACAGGCGCTTTCAGACGCGTTTCCTCTTGGGGTGATGTTTCTCCTGAGGGGACATATTTCGGGAGCCAAACGTGGATCTTGCGTGCTGGGCGCGCGGAAACTACACAAACCACCGCCCTGTTCTCTTCACATTGCCAGTCCGGTGCTCTGGGTTTGAGGGTCTTGGATCGAGGTCGAGAGAATGAATGGTTCCGGCCTCGGCTGAGTGCCTTTTTTGCGTGCTGATCCGGGGACTTCGCTGGGCAGAAGGCTGATGTCATGTTTTGGGTGGCACTATCTCGTACAGGCTGCCAGCTATGACCGGCCATTTGTTTGTTGCGGTAGCCAACGATACTATTGTTCGTATGTGTCCGACTTGGCATTTGTGAGAAGGAAAACCGTATGCAAACTGCAGGAAGACGATTACATTGTTGCTTTTTCGCAATCCAGATCAGGACCCAACCCAGAATGCATTCTTGACCTCTGTTGCATCCCTTTTGAAATGAAACGGCCCCACTTGGGATGGCCTCACAACGCGCGTGAGTTTGGAATTTTGCCAGTGGAAGACTCGAAGCTTGGCCCCCGGCCGGCCCGGCCTGCAGGTCACGGCTTGGACTTGCCCTTCGGTGCGCGGAGAGAGCAGCGAGCAGAGTGTAGATCTGGGGTGTTTGGTCAGCCAATACCAGGCCATGGATGTGAGAATGAGATCGCCACGCCGCCGCCATGAAACGCCTGTGGCAGTCAACAGGACCAAAAGGTCCTTTGTTGCTTGAAAACTAAAACGATGGCAGACTCACAGGCCCTTCCGCAGCTTCATATTTATCTCTCTGGCTCTCTTCGTCCAGACTCCATGGGCGCTTGGTGGAATGTTCTCCTTGAGGCTGGATGTAGCCAGGGCAAGCAGTCTACCCAACATGGACAGAGCCAACGTGTCCTTTTTTCGGGCCGCTCTGGAGCTTTGTGTGTGGAACAGTTTACGTCAGGGATTGTTCGCAGCTACGCAGCTAAGACGTACTCGACCGCCTTGGCGTCCTTCTCTCTTCTTGTACATGGGCGTGCGTATGTTCGAGGACTTCTGCGTTGGGATTGCCTTGAAGGGAAGCCAAGGAGAAACCACCCATTTCGGAAGTCACCCATTTGGTCACACGCACACCTTTGGCAGGCGGCGGAGGGCAAGGCCGTGCCGCCCAACTTAGTGCGGGAGGCAAGAAGTGTCCCGGTTGGGGCTGCATCATCCCAAAGGTCTAAGCTGGGGACCCCATCGCGCGGGGCGGTTTCATGGTCCATCCGATCTTGTGACACATGGCTGTGGCTCAAAATTAAACTGGAGGGGTTGATTCCGCGGGTTTTTCGGTCCATGTGTCCGCTTACCAAGGCAAGCCATTTTGGACATTTCCCGTTTTTCTTGAGCCACAGCGCCATATCCGAACAGGGCAGACACGGGCAGAGAGCCATGTCGGCCTTGCAGGCGAAAGCTGTGGGCTCTGAAAGGAGAGGGCTCAGGGCGGGTCTCAAGCTCCAGTGGAAAAGGTGTCTCAAAGGTTGAAAGGAATGTGTCTGGTCAGCTTCCTCTTGGTTTCCCTCCCACCAAAGGTGGGTTTGTGCACAGATTTTTGTAGAAGACTACTTTCCTCTTGGAGAGTTGGGGCTTTTTGCACTTCCATGTTAGTTGGGAGGGTTCCTTTTCCGAGCCTCAACCGAATGCCGCCCCCTTTGGGGTGTTGGTTTTGCCACGCAGGAGTCCTGGCCGGATCGATGGCCTTCTGGAAGCCAGCGAGTGGAGGGCGGCCAAGGAGGCTGGCTATGGGTCAAACATAGTTGGCAACCCCAAAATGGCAAGCGCCCTGAGAAATAAAGACTAGGACAGAAACCTTGCGGTCCAATTCCTGTTGGTTTCATTTTGACCCATGCCCAAGTAGTCCTGGGCTTTGCACGCTAGCTCGATAGATTTATAGACACATAGAAAGATACATAGGCAGGCAGGCAGATAGATATACAGCTGGCGAGATGGTAGATAGACAAATAGATAGATGGATAGACAGATAGATAGAACACGACAAAGATCAAAAAATAAGGAGAAATTTGAGATCTACGAGGAAAGAAAGAAACGCCAGAGAACCAGACAAGGAAAGAGAAGAGAAAAGACAGAGAAAGCGACAGAGAGAGAGAGAGAGAGAGGGAAAACAAGAGAACTATCCAAACCGCCAATCCAAGCCTCCAACTAGAAGGGAAGTGATTGTAGGCAGGCTTGCTGAAAGTAATGAAACAATACCACAACGATCCCACCCAGCACAGACAACCCTACGCGACTAAACCGTAGTAGAAGTTCACGTGGCATCGCAAATGCCTGGGAAGCAACACATGTTTCAAGAGCTTCTTTTTTTAAGTACGCGCGGCAGTTTGCGGAGTCGGCAAAAGTGAAGTCCCTTGTTTTGGGTTGTGAATCTTGTTTTTTGGTCTTTGCTCGGCCATGAAGGGCCTGAGCTTGCACCAACACCATTGGTCAACTGTTCACAAGTCTGCAGTCTTGACTTTGCTTTGGTCGCCAAAATGTGAAGCCCCGGATTCATAAATCAGGGGGTGTCCCTTTTCACTAGGCATCCTTCACTTTGATGGGCGACACCCTGGACTTACCGTTCTTGGAAGACCATTTTAGTGGCGAGCAAAAACGCAACAGGTGGGTTCTTCTTTGGCCCAGGCGCTCAGGAAGTGAGAGTTTGGTGGGTTCCTGGGCTCCCTTCTTCGCAGAGCTTCGTCGCGCGACCAAATGCCAGGCCTATGGGCCTTGGCATTTGAAGAGCCTCCGAGCTGCTTTGCGCTTGGGGGAGCTGCTCGAGGCGCGGCCGCTTCTTTCTGGGTGAGCCCGGTGGTTTTTGCCCATCCCGCGAGAAAAAGCCGGGAGTTTCCACTCAGCCCGAAGTGCCAAGTGAGGGTTACCTGGCTTTGAGTTCCTCCAGTTCTTTGGAAAACTTGGGAACCTACATGTGCCGCCGTCCCTTCCGCTCCTCAAACGCAAAAAAAAAGCTGCGCACCAGGCGCCGCGGGCTGAAGCGCTGCTGCGGCATGCGGCTGCAGGGTTGGAGGCAGGGAAGGGGAGGCGGCAGTTCAAGAAACAGTTTTTGCTTTAAATCTGTTTTTGGGGGCATGTACTTTTATCATAGCAGTTTGTAGTACGCCATTACCCAACGCGGTATTTGGCTCAAGCTTTTCACTACGACATTTCCTGTCCGCTGTTTTCGTCGCCCATAACCGCGCGGCGCGGCACGCCATCCCGATCCTGGAAAAGATCGAGCTGGTGCGGCTGCGGTGGGTTTCTGGGTGGAGCAGGTCGGATTGGGGTTTGGTAGTGTGCGTATTGTTTGCTTGCTTGCTCGCTGTGCTTTGCCCGCTCGCCTGCGTTGGTGCTGCTGCTCTGCTTTCGCTCGCTGTCTGCCCTTGCTGGGCTTATTCTTCTGTTTGTTCAACTGGCACCCTTTTGGTTCGTGTTTGTGCCGGCCGGGGGCAACTGCTTTGCCCTTGGGACCGGGGGGGATAAGGTGGTCTCTTCTTGTTGGTGGGTTAGGGCCTGTTTTATCCATCCCGAAACTCTGTTTCAAACCCTTTCGCAGGTTATCAGCCGTAGGATTCGTCCTCGGTTGGCACCGCGGGCCCCTTTTTAATAACAACCCTGCAGGTACCGTAGGTTTCTGTAGGGATCATGGCGGGAATCACTGAGGACGGACCTCATGTGGTGACCGATGAATGGGTTCTCGGCCAGGCCGGAATCTTGGACGTCGTGAATGACGACCAAGTGCCCGGACAGCCGATGTTTTCCGGTCCTGACTTTTTGTCGGACCACACTTTTTCAGAAGCAATGCCTTCAGAGAGATCCAGTGCTACTCGCACTGATGATCTATCGTCTAACGCCTCAAGAGCCAATAGCTCTCAGGGTCGTGGGTCTAATCGTCCTGGCCATGATGATTCCGTCTCAGGACGTGATGATGACGAGCCCGGTATTGCACCTGGAGCTCAATCCTCATCTTTCCCCGAGCTGATGAATATTGGTCAGTCCGAACTTCGTGACTCCCGAGGCAGCAGTAGACCTGTGCCAACCAGTAGCATAGCTTTTCAAGTGCTCGGTAATCCCGAACCTGGTACATCCAGTGGAGTTGCATTTGACGTTCATCTGCCGACCGAATCCGGTGGGCTCGATTGGAGAGCCTCATGGCCCAACGACGGAAACATTTTTGGTATGGATTTTGCCGCATGGATGCCAGGGCCACCCGCCCCGTCATCTTTCCCGCAATTCCAAAGCCCAAAACGGGCTGCTGGAAGCGATGAATTCATGCTACCTTTGTCGATTGAGAATCTCAATCCTGACGTGGCCAGCCGTAACGTCAGGCCAAGACCGTCGGTAAACCCGACCATGAGGAACATGTCCCCTCCCCCAGGACTTTCAGGATTTGAGAGCCCTAGGGAGCGTAATATCGTAGATAGATTGGATTTGCATCCCAGTCCAACCCCAAGCAAACGATCAAGGTCAAATTCGACTGGATCGCATAGGGCAAGGGGGATGGATCGGGAAACTGCCCACAGGGGTAACCCCAATACGCGGGACTCAGGACGCGGTCGATCAGGTGACCCAGCGTCGATCATTGGTAGAGACCCGTTAAACGCGGACACACTCGTTAACGTGCTTGATGGGATCGAAGCATTCCAGGAGGAATTTAATAGGTCAAGTGGCTTGAACGCGCAAGGCGTTCGCCCTACGCCCAACGCGGCTTCCATTTTCGCCCTGGACAACATGGACGGAGCTAATGTTCCGATAGAATCTGAGTCCATGATGGCATCAAGTTCTAGTCGCAATCATACCATCAGTAATGCGACTGATATTGAATCGATGTCTGAGTCTAGAGTGTCCAATGCGACCGACTTGAATGACATTGTTATTGCTGACTCGAGACCTGATGTTCCTATGCGAACGGATAGGCCTGTTGTTCCTAAACTGTCCGTGGCCAAAGGCCTGGGCATGACACAACCCTCTGCGGTTCGTGATGCTAGGAGATCTGCTCCGTATCAGAGTCAATCTCCTACTCGGAGTGAGTTCCCACGGCCATCAACGGCCGTGCAGGATAATTTCAGAACTCCTCCGAGATCTAATCCAATCATGGTTGAATTATCCACTCCTCGAGATCGCGGATCAGGATTTGGTCCTGCGAGTGAGGAGCAACCCAACGAGGTTGCTGATCTTGTAACAGCCCTTGAAAGAGGGAGAGTGGACTCTTCGGTAAGTGCGATCATTCATCGCCTGGTTGCTAAGGTCGAAGACCTTGGGCGTAGGAATGATAGAAGTGATCAATGCATCAAGCAGCTCTCCACTGAGGTTAACTCGTGGAGGGCCAAATACAACCAATGCGTCCATGTGAGTAGCACGTGTACGCAGGCTGCGAACGCGGCCATGCAGCTGTCACAAGGGACTAAGGACATCGTGACCGAGCTTGGCCAACGCGTCAAGATCGTTTCCGATCGCATGACAAGCATAGGCGATGCCCTAAATGAGCGGGCCAGCTATGATGATGTTGCTCGCTCCATCACCCAAGTTCAAACTGTTTTTGAATCTCTTTCTGATCGAGTAACCGGGCTTATAGCTCGTGTTGATGCGATCGAGAGATCTCTAGTGGAGAGCCAATCCAACCATCCTGCGATTGGTGGAGTAAACCTCAAAATCGAGGACCTGTCCACTAGGGTATGTCAGATTGATAGGATGATGCAGGATGTCGAACAATGCTGGACCAATAATAGGGACGGCATAAAGTGGGTTAAAGACCAACTTTATGAAACACAAGCCAACCTTGAGATAAAGTCAAGGGACTGCAAATCCTACACGGACAAGCAAAATACTCATAACATGGCCGTTTCGACTACGCTCAACAGTAAGCTCGAGCAAATGCTCGAGGTGCTGGGTAATACGGCCCAGAGAATTAACTCCCTCGAGTCAAGGCACTCGAACCAGGCATCAAGTAGTGGATTGAACGATCGCACAGGAGGAAGGCGTGCCGCGTCCCGTACTCCGGATAAGCGGCCACCTCCACCTGGCCCTCCTGATGATGATCCTCCACCACCTCCTCCTCCAGATCGGCAAAGCCCAGGAGGAGGGGGGAAGAAGAGTGCTGCCGGTGGGAACCCTGGCGACCCTGGTAAACCCAGGTGTAAATACGTAGGTGATGGAAATAATCACCTCATGGCTGAGTTTCACTGCAAAGGATGCAGAGGTGATATTTGTGAGTATTGTTTCTCGTTCAAAGAGAACTTGTGTGAAGAATGTTCCCGTAACGGACCCCGATGCGGTGTCTGTAGGGAGAGCTCGTTCCTGACCAAGGGAATTGAGTGTCAGTTTTGTAGGACCTACTACTGCACCAGACATTCTGCTGGGCAGGATGACTACAGGAGATTTGGATTTGTCCAGGGTCCCTGTTGTCTTGCGTGCCTTAGGGACGAAACTAGGAGAAGAAGGGATCCCGATGGTAACCGTGTCAGGAATAGATCTCCTGGAGGCGCACCTGAGACTCGCCGCCTCTGCGACCACCCGTTGACAGATTCCGTGACATTCCCACTGGGGGTCAACCCAACGCGGCTGACCTTCAGAGTCCTCCGAAGGCTACGCAACCCGTGCCCCTGGATAAACGTGAAGCCGGATATTATCCAGGATTTGATCCCAACGGTACAAGGCCGAAGGATCCTTCAGGCCTTGAGCCGCCGACCATGCGTGGCCCCGATCCTCCTGACAAGAACTGTCGGATGTGTGATCGGGGTATTCCTGATCCCAGCAAAATTGGGGAATGTAAGATATGCATGAAAAAGGCATGTGAGATTTGCATTCCGAAGGCTACTCGCCTTTGTCCTGTATGTGCACTGTCAATCAGTAGTTCTCAGGTTCCACAGCATCTTTTCGGAACTGGTGGCGGCGGATACAGTAGCCACCATGATCCGAACTGTAGAGCTGCGACTAAGTGCATTCCTATAGACCTCCCGCCAGAGCCCGACGCGGCTGGGCTGAGGGTGTCGATAGCCAATATGAAGGAAGCTGTTAGCAATGCTTACAGCTATGATGGACTTTACGTCATCAATTGGCAAACTGAAGTCGAGAAGGCAAAGACCTTTGATGAACTGGATGGGGAATGTAAATACCACATCCTTGAAGCCAGGTTCAATGCAGCCATTCGGAAGTGCATCAAATCGTCTCACCGAAGCCGCTCAACGCTCCAACAATCGCATCAAGAGTAGGCAGATCCTGTGGCTCTTATACGACCACTTAAGGACTGCGAATATCGGAGAGCAATCATTCAGGATAATTGAGCTCTCAAACTTGCGATGCAGTGTTTCATCTTTCTATACTGAAGAGGAGCGACTTGAAAGGTTCATCGCGAAGTGGGATCACATCCTTGCGGGTCTCGATGAACCGCTGACCGAGCAGGTAAAGCGGTCGCTATTCAGTGAAAAGGTTAGACACCTCAACTGTTTGGCTCATGATATCAGGGAATGGGATAGGAACATATCCAACCCTGATGTTTGTAGCTATGAATGGCTTCGTGCTCGTTGTAAGAACGAAATTGACCGCTGGAGGGTTCGTAAGAATCAGGTCAATATGCACAAAGACTTTTACGAACGATCTCAGTCCAGGGACAGAGCCCAGAAACCTGGTGCTCCTGGTCCTCCCGTCAGGAGACGATCTCCGTTTGGAGATTCCCATAGGCCTAATCGGCCTCCTAGTGATCCAAGGAAGAGGACCGGTAATACCCCAAGTCCTCATCGAAGGGACAAGTACTCTCCCAGGAATCGGGAGCAGGACAAGCGGCGTACGCCTAGCCCTAGGGGCGAGCCCCCAAGGAGGCCCAGATCTACGTCGCCCGGTGCTCCTGCGATTGATGCGTGCAGGGACTTCGCGCGTGGATACTGTTCGCGCGGACAAGAGTGCAAATTCGCACACACAAGAACTGGGAGTTCCGATGCGAAACGCAAGGAGCGTCCTCCCCTGATTCCAGGGTATTGCGCCCAATGGGTTTCCTATGGAAAGTGCATGAGGGATAAGTGTGATTACAAGCAT